GCTCATTTTCCCAAATGCTTTCATACTCTTTTTCCAAACTCAAGCTAGTCTCTTCATCACCACCTTAAGTTTGAGGAGGGATATTGCAAAATATTCATACTTGATTATGTTAATTATGTTCACATTTCTATGATTATATTTACATTATAATTGATTAAAATAATCATATTAAATGACTTTGTACTACAAAATATTTTCTTGTGTAAGCTTATAAATAGACCCTTTGTGTATTCAAAAGGGATCAAGAAAAAGGATCACTTTCTTTGTATTTTCTCTCCTACTCTGTGTTCTCACATACCCAATCTTACAATTGGCAAACTATTTGGATGCTAATTTCGAATTGTAAGAGTTTAACCATCATCCAAAACGTATGTGGAATTTAGAACGTCATATGTCGCATTTTTAACGTGTTCTACGAATTGCAATAGTAATTTAATATTTCCTGTTGCAATCTATATTTTACTAGTACTCTTTATAACATTTATTTAGGAATAATATATAATCATCTCTTTTTAAATACTTGACTTTACAAAATTAGTAATATATTGTTGATTTACCATCCATTTAAAATGCATGTGAGTCATTCTAACTCATAATAATAAATAAATACAATATTAATGAAAATTATTAGTTTTACTGTGCAAGGCGCGGCATGTTACCTTGTATTGATAAAACTTGTGGGAATGCAAGTTCATTTACTATTGCATGAATTTTAATTGGATAGGAAATGTGCTGAATATGTTTGTGGATCTAAGGTTATGTCTGGTTTTGTGTTAGGCGTAGGTGTTGTTGGGCTTAGAATTAAGTTTAGGTTTACGGCTGATCATTAGGTGCAAGTATACAAGTTTACTTGTAACTATTTGACTTGTTCTAGTAAGTATTTTATTTGAATTATTAAAAAATTGAGTTACTTTCGCTATAAAAAGAGAATACACAAGTATTAAGTCAACTACCAAATATAGTACAGTGGTTGAAAAGTATTTACCCAACCTGTTAATATGATTTGTTTAACCAATTTATTACCTGTATTGTGCCGAACTTTTTTATTTACTATATAAAACTGAATTAATATCCATATAATAATAATTGCTATTATTTTAAAAAGTAAATGTTTATAATCATCTTTTTCTTAACTATCATAATCTATTGTAGAATTGATCCTTGTTTAGTTTTGATTTGGAGCTACTAAGGTTGAACGGAAAAGATTTAATTTAGGATTGTGGTTCTAAATTTTTAGGTATAAGTTGCTGATTCTTTTCATTTGTGTTTAGGAAGGAGTTTTGTTTGTTCATCTGACTTCTAACTTTTAATTTGATTTATTTCTCATTCTGCATTGTCATTTGGTTGAGGAGGTGACTCATTTCGAATTTTCTTAATATATATTTACTTAACTATATTTTAATTTTCTACATAAAAAACTATTTTAATTTAAATGGTAATTTGAAGCAAAATATTTTAATAAGTATGCAACTATGGGTGCATTTGGTGTTGTGGAAGTTTTTTCGTATAACTGTATAGTGCTCTTAGATACATGTGTGTTTGGTATTTTTTTTAGACTATTTTTTTCTAAAAGATGTAAAAACCACAATAGATCTATAATAATTTTATATATAAAGTTAAAAATCTCATTTGAAATTTTATGGTTGTGATTTTTATAGAAAACAAAAAACACTTAATATTTAATATAATTACAAAATTATCCATTAGAATCCAATTTCATATAAAGTAATTATATCATAATTTATAATATTTTAATAATTATAATAAATTTAGAAAACCTATATTATTAAAAAAGTAAATATTATCTATTTTAATAATTATATATCTTACAATATTTTTTAAATTTTAATTAATAATTAATAAAATCTATTATATTTCATCCATAATATTTTAAAAAAATAAATAACTAAATACCAAAATAACTTTCAGTTACAATTATAATACAATATAGTCATAACTACAACTACAGACATAACATTTCATAATAATCCTAAACACACCTTATATCTACAAGTTACCTAGTACTTATTGGATTAAGTATCAAATATAAATCTTTAAGTAACTAGGTAAATACCATGTTTAATAAGTTAAACTTAAAAATTTTCAAATTAAATACCAAGTATAATTGATACACCACTTATACCCAAAAATGATCATCCCCAGGTTCATTGGGCTAGGAATTAATAGGGAATAATTCGGCCTTAATTTCATGTTAGCCTAAATTAGAATGGGTCCCAAAGGGTTAGTTTAGAGGACGGGTTTTGCAAGATATAGAAAGCTTGGTCACGAGACTAGATCTTTTGGGCTAGATAATGATAAGTCTAGCGGGCTACATTTTAGGCTTTTTTTTTTTTTTTTTTTTGGCCGTCCCCGCTAGGGTAGGTTTATGGTTAAGAGAGGATACCTGCCAAGATACGGATGTTCCTTACTAGGGCACCCAAGTACTGGATATACAAGTCCGGCACTTGGTGGCTCAATAGTCACCTTTTTGCGAGACGTGCTTAGAACTAGAGAACTTGGGATCAAATCTCAAGTCTCTTTTCCCCTTCCTCGAAAAAAAAAAAAAATTTACACTGTTCAAAAAAAAAAAAATACTAGATATACGAGGCTTAAACCTTGTACCACTGTTTTAAAACTGGACAAAATCGACTAGTTGAACTGATTGGGCCAACACCCAATAGCAGAAACGGATAGGATGACCTAAAACCATTTAAGAGATTGAAGACTTAAAACTATTCAAACTATTAAAAGATTGAACCACTTACAACTATTCAAACTAGTAAGAACCAATAACTCATCCAACCAACGGGCTAACTCTTTGGACAAAATTCTCCAAATTTGTCTCCGCTGGGTTTCGAACAACAGATCTTATGCGGAATTAGCAACCCATTTGCCACCAGAGCACCAAGCCAGTTATGAGATAAGTTGCAAAGAGTATGTTTTAAAGAATATTACAAAAATTTTAAAGGAAAAATTACTTCCCTGGGATTCGAACACTGACTCTTTTGAATGCTTTAACTGGTTCCTGCCACTCGAACTGTATCTAGTTTACCGCTGGTTGTTGCATTAAGATATATTTATTATAATAAGATGACATAAATTGAATAAATTTAACACACATAAGACTTGAACTCTAGTTCTCCTCAACATAGATAAAAATTTCAGCCCACCGGAGCCACTACTAATTCTTCAAAATGTGTTACCTTATATTATATTCAATATATATCTTCAGAATTCAATTAACCTAGTTTCTTTAACTAGATAAATCGATTAAACCATCAAACCATAAATTGGAGGTCAAAATGGTTCGGTTTCCAATTCAATTTTGAAAACAATGCTTTGTACCTAACTTGTTTATGCAACCTGTTTTCCTTATGCAAATATATGGTCTAAACATATGCGTTAATACAGTTTCCGGTGAATAAACATATATACTATATATAGGATTTATATTGAGCTAAATACTAAATATAGTGTCCAACCTTTACCGTAAATACCATATATTGTCACAACCTTTCATTTGGACAAAAAATGGCCCTCATCCTTTTTCTTTTTTTTTTTTAAATCACTATGGTTTCATTGGTGTTTTACCTTTTGGTTTTTATATATTTTTGAAATGTTAAAGGATGAAAAAACCTACAATTATAGGTACAAGCTAGTAGTCAAACAAAGGGTGTGTTTGGGATTGCATTTGAGAGCTTTTTTTGGTAGTCATACGATACTTTTATATATATATGTATTTGGTAATTTTTTTAAAATTACTTTTTAAAAAAACTTTAAAAAATCATAATAGATTTACAATAATTTGATATATCAAGTCAGAACCCTAATTTTGGAGCTTTCTGGTTGTAATTCTTACAAATAACACATAATATTTAATACAATTACAAATTTACCTATTAAAATCTAATCTCATTTTATTCAATTACATCATAATTTATAATATTTTATTTAAATTTAATCTTCTATTTATTTAAAGATTTCTTAGAAAATTAAAAACTCATTTCTTCTTTTTGAGTTACTCTCATGCGGAACCCAAAAGAACATTTATCATAAGAAACCAAAAAAACCTAAATTATTAAGAAGTAGTAAATATAATCTATTTTAGTAATTATGCATCATATAATATTTTAAAATTTTTAATTAATAATTAATAAATAATAAAATTTATCATATTTCATCTATAATACTTTTATAAAATAAATAATTAAATATCAAAATAACTTTCAACCACAGTTATAACACAACACAACATAGTTTAGCATAGCCACAATTATAACTACAATCATAGCACCTTACTGTAATCTCAAACACACTTAAAGTGTACATTTAATCCAATCATTAGTTACTTTCACTAAATCCCGAACGAAATTCTAATTAGAATTTTGTGGACCCATCCAAACCATTCCTTTTCCCAAGGACTAACAATGAGGCCGATTAGCAAAGCTTTAAAAGTAATATTCTCTTTCACAAATTTAAATTTAGTTAAATATCAATTTTGATCCATCAATTTTAAGATTTTACACAATCTTCATCTCTCAACTATTTTAAGCACTTTTTTAATCTTTCAACTCTAAAAAATGCATTTTTTAGTTTTTCTATCAGTTATTCTGTTACATTTATTAAAAAATGTACATTTTTAGTTCATAAACTTATAATATAAGAACATTTTTCGTTCTTAAATTTATAAGTTTAGAGACTAAAAATACACATATATGGACAACCTTAATGGAATAATTGATGAAAGGAGAAAAATTGTGTATTTCATAGAGTTGAGAGATAAAAAAAGTGCTTAAAATAATTGAGGGACAAAAATTGTTGTAAAATCCTAAAATTAAGGGACCAAAATTGACATTTAACCTTTAAATTTTATTGGAGGAAAACACTTTAAAATCAACTTTTTAAGTAAATTTTAAATAAATTTTTAAAAAATTACACATCTAAACTTTTTTCAAAACTTCTTAAAATTTAATTAAAAAATAATTTAAAAATTTTTCTTTAATAAAATTTTAAATTTATTAAAAAAATAAGACATTTTAAAAGCAAGTGCTTTTTTAATTGTTGCAAACCAGTTCAAATTGAAGAGACTCTCATCTTCCTATCCTTAAAAGAATTTGGACAAATCATCTCTAAGGTCACAATATAAAGCAAGGATATCTCTTGTGATAGTTCTCCTAGATGGAGGCTTAAAATGTTGTGCAAGACATATTGCACAAAAATGTAAAAATTCTTCTTTCTCAACAAAACTAAAAGGTAACTCACCTAAAATAATCATTACAACAATTGCCTTCCTAGTTGCCACTTCATCAAGCTTCCACTGCTCTAAATGCACTGACTTACTTCCATCAACAGATGTAAACTTTGTCAACTTCAATTGTGCTTGTTTTGTCAAATTTTTGGGATTTAATTTTCATCTAGTTATGTGTTTCTTAAGGCCTAAAGTCCCACTATTTGAAGAACAAGCTTTTATGACAGCATTACCCCATTTACACCTCCCCTTTTGTTTCCCATCAGGACCAATAAAGTACACAAAGTATTTGCAAGCTTTAGAAGTTTTACCTCTTGGTTTTCGTTGAGTGCCTTGAGGTTGAGATTGTTGAGCGACCTCAGGAGGTTGATTCTTTTGACAAACTCTTCCCCTTTTTTTAGTTTTATTTGTTGTGCTTTCTTTAGCTCTAATGATATTCCTCACAACTTTTAGCAAGACTATCATCAATATCATCTTCCTCATCATTGTCTTCCTCTTGCTCCTCTTTTGAGTCTTCTTTATATTCCTCATCATCTTCCTCCATTTGCTTTCCTTTGGTCCTTTTCATTTCTTCCATCCTTTTCTCATAGCTTTCAAATTCTTCCTCCAAATCCTATTATAGTGGAGGTGCCTAAGCATTAAAAAATATTGCAAGAATTTAAACATTAATTAATAGTACATAAGATAGGGAGGGAACATAGAAAACTTTATAAATATGCAAAATATATATACCAAAGAATTAAGTTTAGATAGTTGTTCTCCTCGTGGTGCTCCCTCTACTGATTTAGAAGGGTAACTATTCATTTGAATTCTTGAAGTTGACATCATTTATAACATTCTATATTTAAAATAAAGAAGACATGTCAATTGTCAAATAAAGTAAGTAGAAGCTAAACAGAAAAAATCAAAGAAAAAAGTAAATAAACTGACTACAAAGAGGGAAATAGAGCAAATATCCATGGCAAATAGAGTAAGTAGAAACTAAATAGAAAAATTCAAAGGACAAAAAAAGAAAATAAACCAACTAAAAAAAGGGAAATAAAGCAAATATCCATTGTGTTGACATTAAAAGTTTGGCAAGTAAAAAAACTTCTAGATTTAAGAATCTTCAAAGTCAAATGAATAAAAATATAAGCATTTGCATAGGGTTGGGCCATTTGCCCATGGACCCATTTGGCTTCTTGCAAGCAATTATATAATTTATTGTCCTCCTACCTTTTCTTTAATCATGGTCTTTAGTCTTTCTTCACAAAAGCCCCATTTTTCAAAGATAAGAGCAAAATAGGAGCTTTTGGCTTTTCCTTCTAATTTGGCAGATGAAACGCATATAAAAAATCAAAGCCTCAAAATAGCATCATAGAGATGGGGCATGGTATGCGATTCTCTCACAATCTCACTTTCTCATCTTCTCCAACTTGTCTCCTCACCTCTTGTTTTCCCTATACTCTCTCTGTTTCTTTGTTATTTCAATTTTCAAGTTTTGCAAGAATAAATCTTCCAATCTTTTGAAATTTTGTTCCGATTCAAAGCAATTGAAAGGGAATTGTTTAAGAATTTGCACATAACACCCATCTTTTAAAGATAAATCAAGTAAAGTATGTACCATTCTAGACTTACTAGTGGTCGATATTTGGTCACGGGTCGAAATGCTAGTCATCGTCGCTGCCTACTCACAATTGTAGAGTGGTCACCGAGGAGAGAGTAGCAAACCATAGACAAACACAGTCGATAGAACCTAGAAGGTAAAATGACTAATAAAAAGATTAAGGGTTTTGAGGACTATTTTGTATTTACAGTTGAATTAGAAATATTTAATTATTTTAATTTTAATGTATTAATTTATAAATATATTTAATATATTTAATTTTAATATATGATATGTAGTACAATACTCGATATTTGATCTTTTTTAGTTGAAATCCAAATACCATCCTAAAATATTAATTAGTACCGTTTTTGTATCAGTTTTTTTATTCTTATCGGTACAAGTCTTGGTACCGATTCCCAAACACTCGGTAGTACATACCGAAGGCACGGTACAATTTTTCTGATTTTTGCCCACTCCTGTTCACGCCTTTCCAGATTTTAAAAGTACGTTTTGTTAAATATTGTTACCACGTGTTACTAAAACAACGGCGTGTGCTTAAGAAAGTGCAAATGGGCAATTGCCCTTAGCACTGCTCTAGTTTTTATGAAACATGGACTGTGTTAATTAACAAAAAAAAAAAAAAAAACAAAACAAGGATATGGGGAGTTGGCTAAAAGGAAAAAATTTGAAAAAAAAAAAAATCCCATTAATTGGGGGTTCGGTGGCCTTTTTCCTATTTTAGGGGTCTTCATAGGTCCCATAAAATTTTACT